TCTCCCTCTCTCTCTCTCTCTCTCTCTCTCTCTCTCTCTCTCTCTCTCTACACTCATTTTTTTGGTTTGTCTATCATCCATTCATTCATTATTATTTTTAGTTACAAACTCCTCCCATTTTATTGTATTTTTTATATATATTTTATATATAGAAATGGATATAAATTTTTCTTTAATGGGCGGAGCATTTCCAAACTTATACACACTTTATTATATTAAAGATCATATCACTAGCAACTACAAACATGCTTTTGGTGGGCTTTTTTTTCATATCGAAAAAATGTAGGCGGTACTTAAACTACTCTACCATCATAACCACCACCACCACCACCACCACATGATGATTATCAACAACGACTACCTTACTATTTTGTTGTTGTTGTTGTTGATAATCATCAATGATGTTGATGTTGTTGATGATGATGATGATGAAAATAGTAATTGCAATGAAGATGTTGAATTCGTCAATCAAACAAAACAAAACGTGTGTAATCATCATCATTTTTTTTTAAATGAAAATCTTACGGCCATTGCCGTATCATCATCATCATCATCGCCATACTACGTACAAATTATCTTTGATCATCATCATCATCATCTTAATCATCTTAACGATTGAAAAGATCATCCTGGATAAGATGCTGTAATCAGTTGATTATCATTTTGTTTGTTGTTCAATTTTCATTGATTTTTTTCATTGATTCTTCCCTGATTCCTTCATTGATTCAATATGTCTGTGTGTGGGTGCTTGTGTATTTAATAAATAAAAATTGGAACTATAGAATCTTGGAACTGGTGGCAGTCATGAAAATTTTCAACGAAATAAACAACCAACCAACAACAACCAACATTCAATTTCCACCGATATATGATCATCATCAATGATGATGAAGCAGCACATATAGCCAACCCTAAATCAAACAGAAGAAAAAAAATCTAACGATTGATTAGATCTGAGTTGTTGTTTTTTGTTTTTCGGTTTGTTTGTTTGATTCGGGTAAAGCTTTTTTTTTGAATTGAATGAAAGACGAGAAAGAATTTTCGACCAATCCTCGTTGCTGCTGCTGCTTCTGTCATCAATATATATCCTTGTTGTGTCCGATTTTGTTATTTTTTTGTTTTCTGTTACTTCATTCATTCATTCATTTATGGCGCACAAATCTTTTTGTTCCTGGATAGTTAGTTTCATCGTTTTAATAATCATTTTTTTTGTTTGTGAATCATATAACCATTGATGTGTGTGCATGCGTATATTTGTATCTTTCAATATCGCTTTGTTCTTCATTTGAGTTTTCTTTTGTCTTTTTCTTTCTTTCTCTTTGTTTTCATCCTAATAACCGATTCAAACATCGACATAAAGAATATGAGAAAAATGAAAAAACTTATGATTCATTTGACATAACGAAATTTTGTTGTTAATTTTGTAAAATTGTTTTCTGGAAATTTGAGAATGGCTTAGGTTTATAAATCTGGCCAAATAAAAATAACTAAATTATCATCAAAAATCTGTTTGTATTTGTAATTTGTGTTTAAGTGTGTGTTTATCATCTTCATCATCAGCATCCAAATTTATTGATTGATTGAAATTGCTGGCAATTTTATCATCCATTATCGATAAATTTATTTTGAAACAAAATTTCATCTATTTTAACCCTATTTTAACGCTATTTTAAAAAATCATTATCTGGTCATCATAATAATCATTGCATATAACATCTTTATCCAGAGAAACAAAAAAAAAATCAATCAAATCAATCGATTGATCGATTATCATCATCATCATCAGATTAATGATAATTATTTTAATGTTTATCAATTTATCAATTCGTATTATTATTTCAATGTTTAATCCAAATTTATCCGATAATAATAATAATTTATTTTTTAAAATGGCACCCGGATAAATTCAATAAATTGATTTGCTGTTTTGTTTTTTGTTATGTTGTATGGGGTGTGTTGTAGTGTGTATGTATATTTGTGGTTGTGTTAAGTAAGTGTTCTATATTTGAACTTAAAGTGTTCCTAAATGATAATAATAATAATATTTTTTTTCGAAAAAAAATGTCCTTCCTTTGAAAAAAAAGTTTTTTTTTGTCTGCAAAAATTGGTTTCCAATTTCCATTCTTCTCTATCATTATTTTCCAAATTTTTAATCAGTCATCAATCATATTGCTGACCAAAAAAAACAATACCGAACATTTTTTTTTGAAAAATCTTTTCGCATTCGAAACAAACCCAAAAAACCAAAAACATCGACTTTTCACGACTACTATGAACCAATATCATTTACCAATTGGATCAACTGCAGCATCATCAGCCGCAGATTTAATTGCACCGAATTCTAATCATCCATCGTTATCGATAGAATTTTCATCAAAAAATTCTGATTATCAATATTATCATCAACATTATCATCATCATGCACATTATCATTATGAAAATTTAAATAATAATAATAATAATAATAATAATTCATATCAAACATTATTATCACCATATCGATCACAATTATATACAAATAAACAAATTGTGAATAAATTACCAACATCAATACCATTATTAAATGAATTAACATTATCAACAAAATTGTTAAATAATAATACGTCAGCCCGATCATCATCATCCGTATCATCATCATTATTGTCTTCGTTATCATCGACCAAATCGTCTATGTCACCATCATTGTGTTCATTAAGAAATTTACATTTATCATCCGGTTCAACATCATCATCTTCGTCATCATCATCTTCATCATCTTCAAATTCATCAAATTATAGTCAACAAAATCAATTGATTTCTACAATACCGACAACAACAACAAAAATCATGCAATCAAGTTTAGCATCAAATCATTTAGGCACAATGTATGCCACAAAAAGACGTAGACGTAATAGTAAAAAGTAAGTTGATAGATTAAAAAACAACGAAACAAAACAACAGTGGGTTTTGTTTTTTTATTGCTAGATTTCAATCAGAATTTTTTTTTTAAAAGTATAAAGAATATTCTTATCCTGATCAGATTTTGATCAATTCTAATAGAAATTGATAATAATTTCGTTTTATAAATGACGCAAAGAATAATGAAAAAGTGAAATTGTCAATCGCCAATGGTCATTCAACAAAATTATCATTACAAATTAATCTAATATCGTTAACTGATTTCATCAAAATGATATGAAATTACCGACTTGGTTTTTTTTCTTCTTTCTTGTTTTTCAATCTGATGAAAATTCTGTTCAATTTCTTCTTCTTCTTCCTCTTCATTGTTTTTTCCCCACTTTGAAACACAAACACCAGAATATTCGTGTCAATTGAATAGACAGACAAAAAAAAATGAATTGAATTGAATTCACTTATGTCAATGTTGATGTTGATTTTAATCATATTGACTGATTCTTTCTTTCTTTCTTTCTTCAATTCAAATATTGTACAGTTATCAAAATGATAAATCTATTATGATGATGATGATGATTATCAACCGAATGATCATCATTTCTTTTCTCGCCTTCTGTTTTTTTATTTATTTCCTTGAAAAAAATGAAATGATTGACTTTACATTCACTTTATGTATTGATTGTATAAAAGATAAATTTGGGTGGATAGATCTAGGATAGATCTAGAAAAAAAAACACAAATAATAATCATAATCATGATCATGTTTGATGATGAAAGCGATATTCTTTAAGGGTTTTTTAAAAATCCATTCATAAATGATGTAATGAAGAAATGAATGATTTAAAAAAAATTGTTACCATTTTGTTGTTGTTGTTGTTGTTGTTATAATTTACCCGTACCGGGATCTTTTATAGATTCAAAACAACAACAACAACAACAACAACAACAAAACCGAAAAAAAAATTGGAATAACGTCCATAACGTCTATCTATCTCAGCCTCTCTTTTTGTGTGTGTGTGTGTGTTATTCGGCCTGTAGAATTGATAACGATAGTTTGTGTTTATGTTTGTTTGGTTTGTTTGTTTGTTTGTATATGAGAAAAAAAAGATAGAACGATAAAGCAAGATAATGTAGAGAAGAACAACAAAAAAAAAAAAAAAAAAAAAAAATATTCGTACCGTTATTACTATAACCGTTAAATTGCTATATTACATTTGAGTT